CCATGAATTGGTATTTTGAATATTTAGGGGGATAACATTTACAGTAAGCATGTATCGTTTTGGTCTAATACTATAACGATGATGCATATGTAACGTATTACCTTTGATAACCATTTACACCACTGGGTCGATGCCACTGCTGGTGGACGTTTCGTCCCCGAGGGTATCACCAGCCCAGTAGTCAGCACTTCGGTGTTGACATGAATGTCAATTTTGTGGTCATTCTATAAATTTCCTGTTTACAAAAGTATGAATTTTTCGAAATACTAAGGATTTTCTTATCCCAGGCATAGATTACCTTAGCCGCATTTGGCACAACTTTTTGAAATTTTGGGTCTTCAATGCTCTTCAACTTTGTACTTGTTTGGCTTAATAACTATTTTGATCTGAGGGTCACTGATGAGTCTTATGTAGACGAAACGCGCGTCTGGTGTATTACATGATAATCCTGGTACCTTTGATAACTATTATTAATTATAAATAGGTGTATATCGTCATTCTCCCATTCTGGCAATTATTTTCCTTTGTATAGTTCTACCGTCTTAGTTTTATAATTCGTTATTGTTCTCACGGTAAGGAAGTGTCTATTAAATGTAAAGTAAAAAATCTTATTCTTTTAATACATTGTAAATTTGTTAAAATGTGTATCACCTAAGCAAGACCTGTCCATTCAGTTTCCAAATAATATTAGCAGAAATAGCTTGTTACAGATACTTTACATTTTCTACATCTTAGAAATAATTTTTGCAATATCTGTACTGACGAATTACATTTTTCTCTCTCTATTTTATACACTGGAAGTTAAGCAACCAACAATCTATCAATCTATTTTTGTGAATCCGGAACAGCCACTAACGAGTAAAATATGACTACCGCTAGAAGTGATTTTAGTACATGTTCAATGAGACAGGAAGAAAATTCTCCTTAAATTTCACTAAAATTATATGATATATGTTATCAACAGAAGGACGATTGTCTGAATTAACCTACATATATATACATGAAGATTTTTACTATTAGTCATAGGTGAGTTGCAACCACACTCCTGTCATTCAAGTGAGAGGTTTAGCTAGCTATACAACCAGGTTCAATCCACCATTGTCTGTATAAGAAAATGCCTGTACCAAGTCAGGAATATGACAGTTGTTATCCATTCGTTTGATGTGCTTGAGCTTTTGATTTGGGACTTTCCGTTTTGAATTTTCCTCGGAGTTCGGTATTTTTGTGATTTTACTTTTTACACCTCAATATACAATTAATATCACATCATTTTTACGGTACACTAAAATCTAATATGCTATTTTGAATTTAGTAATGTATAAAAGGAGATGTGAAGTATATTTAAAGATATGTTTATACTTTTGTGTTGTCTCTGTTTGTGATGAATGCAAGCGATTTTAATTGCATATAGATTACATTTATTGCAACAAATATTCCAGTTGTCGTAGCCGCAATCCCATCCTTTTTTTCTGTGTTCAAATGCGCGACTAATAACCAAATAAGACAACGAGTACACGTGGAAGAAGAAATGCTCACCCGTCCTGATTATTTGATTCAAGTCATGTTTTCTTGTTGGATTGGTTTTGCTCAATCGTTTTTTTTTTGTGTGAAGTGTAGTGTAGACCGTCGTAGTTTTCTTAGTGTTTGTCTGTCATTTTTCGACTTTTTTTTTGTGTGAAGTGTAGTGTAGACCGTCGTAGTTTTCTTAGTGTTTGTCTGTCATTTTTCGACTTATGGTGATAACTTCCCACTTGGTATGATATAAGTAATTACTACAAATACTAGTAGTCTTTTCTTAATAGTTTAATACTTACTATAATAATACTTTAATAATTTCGGGCTAACTACTCATCAACTCTAATTAAATCACTGTGCAAAATAATGCATTGGGCGCATAATTAAGCGGAGCTGCGATCGTTCTGGATTAGAGGAAGAGCAGAATATTGACTACATATTTGATCTATAAATTATTGTTGTAACCTCAATCTTTGAGCAACTGACAAAAAACAAGTAGGATTGTTTACACCCTATAATTAATTAATGGCATGTGCCGAAAAATACCTTTTAAAAAATGTCACTCTGTTTATAGATATTGTGACCTTGATATTTGTTCAACTTGTCCAAACAAAAAGAATTGACTTGGAGTTCGGTATTTTTGTTATACTTCTTTATCAATACGATTTTGTTATAGGCATTTTCAAGCTAAAATTGTAAATGTTTGACATATCATTTGAGATATATTATTCGGAAGCAAGGTGTTTGCCTAAATGTCAGTCTATTGATTGTTTCTGTGATCCTGACCTTCGTTCAAGTGATATACAAATCGATAGTGATCTTTTCATCCCATAGTACATTCTCCACCAAAGAATGATAAAGCTCTAACTAATGGCTTAAAAGATGTGCCGAAGCGATTTTTTTCTACATTTTTTGTCCTTTTCACCTAAAATTGAGTGGGATTTTCTTCATTAGAAGTTGTATTTCTAAGCTTAGCAATTGTTTTACATATGAATCAAAATGATAATATGACAAATTCCTGCTGTGACTTGATAATTGATCTTGACCTTGAATCAACTGACCTCAAAATCAATAGGAATCTTTTTTATCACACGGGGGCATTGTCAACTTAAGTTTTGACAAAACATTATTTAGCTAATTGGAATTTGCTCTAAAACATAAATGTTGAGGTCTTCAAGCTCCTGACGGCCTTTACCATATTATATACGGACATTGTTTTTTTTTAATTTGATGTATAAAAAAATATTGGAAATTAAAGGCCATAAGCTTCGAGATGAGAAAAAAAAAGTTTTTTTTTGTTCAATCATTAATGAAAGTTAAATAGTGAAACAATAATACGCTTTTAGCAGCCAGTTTAGTTCAATTTTGTCAAAATAAGCTAAGAAACATCGCTGATGAATTATTCACTTGCAAGTGAATGCTTTGACCTCATTGAATCCGTATTCATGTGACCTTCAATTTAAGCCTTTAGCTAGAGATTGGTTACGCATGCATTAGGCGTGTTCAGCCATTTAAAGGAAAAGAGTGTCAACATTGAAAGTGAAAGGTGAACCATTTCGTTGACTGATTCGATCCACAAAAAAACCAAAACATTCCTAGACAGGTAAAAACGATGATTATCTTATTTTCTTAACCTATAACATGAAATCAAACAGACCTAGAAAAATCCAATTGCATGATGTCGCAATCTATTTATATTATGTTTATGTTTATATCGGTTTATGTGACCGTCGACAGTCTTCGGAGGTCATCCCGATGGTTAATTAGATGGCGTCTGGACTAAAATACACACGAAATGCTGATATACATTATCGACTCCGTGCATTGTTAATTTTTCATTTTAGACTTTTGGTAATTTGAATATACGTTTTAGGATGTTATGAATCAAATATGAGAATTTGAGGCAAATCGGTGAACATGAATTTTACAGCTAATGCCCCTTTAAGGAATTTATCTTCCTAATGCAGTGCTCTGAGTCTTTTTCCCGGTTATTCTATAATGTAGATCCTTGTCGTTTATTAAATTGCATATCAGCTCTTAAGTGTTTTTGTTAGATTTTGAATTTTAAAATATATTGGCCTCAACCATCACCAAAGAGTCATGCATTGTCGAAATGCATATCTTGTGCAGTAGAATTGGTCCCGTTTTAAAAAGGTTTTTTTATAATGAGAGTTCTTCCTTGTTGCAGCTTGTCTTAAATGTTCAATCACCTTTCTCAAATGTATTTTATGCTTCCTTGATACTTTTATGAATAGCAGAATGTCAGGTCGCTCATTGAACTCCTGAAGATACAACAGTTGACATTTTCCCCCTTACTTACCAGAAATTAATGATGGCCAATGTTGAATCCGTGTAATCAGATTTCAATTAGATATCAGTCTTATGGTAATTTTGTACGTCAGACGCGTGTTTCGTCTACAAAATACTCAAAAGTGACGCTCGAATAAAAAAAGGTAAAAGGCCAAATCAAATGCAAAGTTGATGAGCATTTAGGACACAAAACGCCAACAGGTTTTGCCAAATTCAGCTAAGGTAAATACCTGGGATAGAAAATCCTTATTGATTCGAACAATTCAAAGTTTTGTAAAGAATGAACCTATAAATATGACCATATCAATGTCATTTCATGTCAAGTGTCATAATAACATGTCAAGTGTTCATATACGTCCTGCGTTGGCAACACTTTTCTTAAAATGAGGCGAAAGATACCAAAGGGACATTCAAACTCATTAGTCGAAAATAAACTGACAACGTCATGGCTAAAAAAGAAAAAGACCAACAGACAAACAATAGTACACAAAACACAATATAGACGAACCTCACCAAAAAAAAGGCAATAAAATCCCATTTATCAAAGAAAATACCAAGGTCAAAAATAGAAGAATACTGAAAAATAGCAGTTTACACAGAAAAATTTGATAAGAACAACAAGAAGTTCTTTAAACAGCGATGGTTAAACTAATTGATTAGAAAGACTAAGAAACCTAACCTTCGTATTTGCTTTTGGACATGATTTTCAAAATAAATTTGAACCAATATACATAAAGTAGCAAAATGATCCCAAGGTAAACAAAAAGCTTGTTAATTTGAAGTTCCGGTAAAGTTGACCGTAGATGGATTTGGCTATCATTTTAGGTCCTTATTGGTCATATAGCTTTTCAACTGTTTCGGTTGGCTTTCAAACATTTGCTATCGGCTTTGAGTGTTCCTGATGAAGATTAATCCAGAAAAGCGCTTCTGACTCATGGAATTTATAACATGTGTTTCTATTTTTTCAACTTTGGATATGTATGAATCATTAATTATTGATCACAAAGCGACATTTTGTATTCGCTGTTTTCCATAAAATAATTTCAATGATTTACCACTTAACACGAGAAAACAAGCAGACACAAATAAAGTATATAACTGCAACTTAACATAAAAACAAGCACACAAATAAATAAAGGATATTGCTTTATTCAAGGTATGTTTATATTGAATATTCTAAGAAGCAATGAGAAACCCAGAGAAGGATGTATACATATAGTCAATCACTGATCCAGCATGATCATGTTCACTGCCATGCGATCTTACTAATACAGTATCACCTATCTGTAGGGCCATGACAGCCATATTACTTCCGGAGGAATAAAAATCTTTATCGTATGCATACGTGGATGCCATGGGTTGAAGATTTTTAGTTATTTCTGTTTCCAGGTGTTTTCCAGGGTTGGCCAAAGTATGGACATAAAAAGCGTATAACCCTGGAATCGCACATGTGAATATACCTGTTTGGTGGTTGTAGTCGCTCCCGTAATTCGTATACACTGTATCAAATCGGATCACCTGATTATCACCAAGATTGGAAACGTCTTTGCTTAACACTGCCGTGAATCCTATTCTAGGTATTTGACCTACAACAAGACAAATAAACTATAAGGTTTCATCAAGTCAACATTATTCATATTGAAATAATATAGTTTTGTAAATTTAGATTTTCAACGGATAAATACTATTGGTTTGAATTGGTTTATCGATACGAGACATATTAACGTTTTCTCTCCCCCGTAATTACGTTCATAACAGCGTTTGTGGTCCTATGTCAGATGATACTTACATTATCGACTTGGTCTGGCCCTTTTTAGACTTTAAGCATATACACATGCAATTCATTTTGCCAAGGTGCCACTCTGATAATAAGTTTCAGAAACCATACTGTGGTAAGGCTAGAATTATCCGGTGTCATTACACGGAATTAAACTGGCTATACTTTATTCACAGTCAATCTAATTTTTGTCCTTAAATTTACTGTTTGGTTAGAAAACAATATCTTCCTTTGGTACTTTTATTTTGCCTCAATTTAACGTGTCGAGTTTTTAATGTAAAAGGTTTGGTTCTATAAAATTTAATCAGATCTTGCAACTAGAAAGACAATCAAAAACAAAAGAGCAGTGCGCAAGGGATACAAATAGACTTCGGCTCCTTTGGAAGCCCACTTTAGTTGGTAGACGAGTACAAAGGAAGTTAGTTTGACACACCTATGATTGTGAAGATATATTCAGGGAGCAAAATAGATGACCAATGCCAAAGTAAAAATCCCATTCAAGAAACAAAAATATCATCAGCTGCTACCAAAAGAAGTGGTAATAAAACAAGATAGGTAAAATGACAAGCTCAATAAATATTTCATGATAATACAGCGCCAAGAAAATACTTTTTTTCTGAAAATAAAACCAAAACAGAAATAGGGGGCGCTTTATGTTAGAATGCTACATGAATTTAAATGTAATGAAACTGAAAAAAAAATCCCTATTATTAATAGATTGGATGAAAGTACATAATAGTTTATGATATATGGCTGAACATATACACCCTCTCCAAAAGTAATAATTGACAAAATATTGATAAAATCCCCACCTGTATCAATTCATTATTATTAGTATAAAAACATGAACTATGACGATTTGCACAAAATACTCTAACAGAATATTGCATTATCGTCATATGTACACGCAGACATGAAATAGGTCCATGATACTATAATATTAAATGGTCGTATATCTCTATAAAGTAATTGATCATGTCTGTCACTTTCGGTATAGAATAAATTGTGATACATAATTATTCATTGGACATACTTGTTTTGACTTGTAATTTGACAGCTGCCAGGTTGGCTTTTAGATTCTGCAGGTCAACTTGAACTTGGTGCAGTTCATCCGTAGAATCAATTAATCTCTTGCGGTCGTTTGCTGAAAGGAAATACGTTTTCTTCAAACAAACAAACAGAAATACATCATGAAATATGACGCTTTCAAAAGCAGTAAAGCTACTACAAATATTGTTGTTGTTTCTGTTACTGTTCTAAAAATATTGGTGAACGTAGGGCGATTTAAGTTTTCGTGTACACATTCAATGATTCTTAAATGTTGTTGTACTGACATCTTCGATCTTAATATCAACACCTTTATTACATAGTTTTACGTGAAAACTGGATTTAATAACACTGTAAAATAAATGTATTTAATTTAACAATGAATATTATACTTAATCAATTTTAGACGTTCGACGCGTTTTCTTTTATCAAAATTTCAAAGCAAAACAATTCAAAGTAAACGATGTATAAGTGCTGAAACACGCAAAGACGTATGTGACCAAAACGGACCTTAAAATAATAGCCAACATATTTTAAAAGTTTATAAGCACATTTGATATGTTATCTTTGATTAAATTTGATAATATCTGTGTAAAAAGTAAAATATCAAAAATACCGAACTCCAAGGAAAATTCAAAACTAAAGTATAGTGACTTGACTGAAATACAAGTTCTTTAAACTGCATAGTTGAACACGATGTAATATGTAGGTCCAACTTAATAAAAGAAAACATTTTAATTATTAAAGTGTTTTAACCATTCTTGTTGTTAAAGTTCAATATGTGTGTTTCAAACCTATTAAACGCACTTGTATGTATAACGTTATATTGTCCGTTATTAACGTTTATCCATTTCTTTGTCTCGTCCAGTTCTCTTCTTGTATCTGCAAGGTCCTGTCGTGTATCCACTAGAGCCTCCATCGTTTTGTCAAGTTTCTTTCCTGTAAGGTCTAGCAGTACTTTTGTTTCAATTAAAACCTGCTTCGTTTTTTCAAGCTCCTTTCCCAAAACATCTTTAGTTACACCAAGCTCTGTTCTAGTATTGTGTAGGTCCAGTCTGGTTTCAGAAAGAACAGCCTTAAGTTCACGTAATTCATTCCATAATTGCGATACATCACCACCAAACTCTCTTTTTCCTGCAGTTATACCTGGGATACAGCTACAAAGAAACACATATGTGATTAAAAGAAATTTATATGACATTTTGCATAATGGTTTACACTCACTGTCAGGAATAAAGGTTATCAATATCTTTCGGTTCAAAACAGTGTAGTGATAAGGCATGTACTGTGAAAGTACTTCTATTCGTGGATATCAATTTTCGTGGATTGAGCAAAAGTGACATGTTCGTGGGTTTTTAAATTCGTGGAATTTTAGTTTTCTGAAGAAAAAAATCGGGTGAAGAATTTGAACCCATCAGAAACAAAGATTCTTGAAAGTAATCATATAATGTTTATTTTCACTTAAATGTTCGTCTCTCATTTCTGACAACATTCATCCAATTTTTTATAAAATAATTGCTTTCAACTGAAATAAGCCAATTCATCTCTGAATACAAATTGTTTCATTGAAGGAAATTGCAAAGTAAACATTTTAATTGTTGCACACGTTTAATCAGAAGTGGTGACAATAATTAACCTGAAATCAAATGATCAACAGATTAACAATCATCAAGGTGTTAATTGGGCCATAAACATGTCATTTAAAGAAAAAGGTTGCATAAAAAATGCTACAAAATAATGTACTTTGAATTAATACTTATGAAATAATACTTATTAAATAAAAACTCAAGCCCAATATGAAATTATTATTTTTTTTTCGTGCGAGAATTATAAGAAGATTAAATGAACACTTCATCATCATATATCTTCATAGGAAGTCTGACTTTCATCTTTCAAAACAAATTTTTCATGAGAATTAAAAGGTTAAAAGTCGTACAACTTAGGTAATTAAAAGATTAAAATCCTGTCTGAAGTTGAACATACTACACTGGTGCTACGCCACTGCATATAGTTCATATTGCGTTTGCTGATATTCCATGTTTTCTCTAGATTATATGTCCGTATCCATGTAATGAAATCTACAGGGGATCTTTCCATGTCTTGATTTGGACAACAGTTGCTATATTTCGTTGGAATTAAATTCGTGGATAAAGCCTTCCACGAAAACCACGAAAATTGGTACCCCACGAATAAAAGTACTTTCACAGTATTGCAATGTCAATTAGTTTTCAAAGCTGCTAAAGTTGTGTTGTTCAATACTTTCAAAAGCTATATAAAGGAATCGAATTAAAATATTTACATTTGTTGTATTACACACTTTTATACTATTTATCCGATTTCTTTTCTTTTCTTTAATTCTTTTCAATCATTTGAATTGATGTTTACTTTTCAATATTTGAGCAATGTTGGTATTTCTGAAATATGAATTATCAGATACTTCATGAACCACTGAAATACCAAAGATCAACTTAAACTGCCAGAAATCTAAAAACACAATAACCAAGACTTCAATAAGACAGTACACGGGCGTCAACAGAAAATGTGGGCCAATGCAATATGTCAAGATCTAACATAGCCACGTGCATAAAAATATTGTGATCAGATGCAACAGAGACAATCACAGATATTCAATCAAGACAAATTAAAAAAAGAATCAAATAAACATTAAAATATGACATTTAAAAACTGACTATGTTCCTGACTTTGGACAGGCACACAAACATAGGACGGGTTTAGTTTTCTAGTCGTTTTGTCCATTGAAAGAGATCATTAAGACGAAGAGATGATATGAACATGGTGTTATATAGTAAAAATTAGGAATTATGAAACGTCAATATATCTTAATAAGCCTGTCCGACTTGCAAAAAGGTTGCATTAAAAAGAGCTTTCTGATTTTGATTTGTTCTTTACTATTTGTTTGGATAAAATGAGGTTTGGCAAGTATTACTAGAACTTGAGCTTAAACAAATGTAAAGTCTATACCTACCGAGAAGTGTATGTTTAAATTGTAAAAGAAATTCATTGGACCAAGTCACTGAAAACATCCATTTAGTGACTGTCATGTTTAACCCTTATCATTTTTAATTTTGTGAAATTGGATATAAACTGTCCCGACTTGTATCATTTTTGACAAATACAAAAATACAAATACAAATCATGAATGCAACGAAAGAAAGAATCAAACCATACATACAACAACTTCACACAACACTACACAGACAACTATACATACAGTAACCCGAAGCATCAAGCAGCTTGAATGAATTCAAGACTCATAAAATAATTTTTCCTCCGACATTATTCTTCAGGGTGAATCGTTTTTGGTATCTTCTCTTCTATGTTTCTTGAAACTGTCAATTTATCTGTAAAACAGACCATACATTATTATTTTGAATATTTAGGCGGCTACCATATGAAGAAAGCGTGCATCGTACATGTCGTTATATTTTGTTCTAAAGCAAATATCAATAATTCATACGTTAAAAGAGAGGCAAAAGATACCAAAGGGACATTCAAACTATTATAGTAGATATGTAGTATATTCCCTGCAGTTATACCTGGGATACAGCTACAAAGAAACACATATGTGATTAAAAGAAATTTAAATGACATTTTGCATAATGGTTTACACTCACTGTCAGGAATATAGGTTATAAATATCGTTCGGTGCAAAACAGTGTAGTGATAAGGCATGTATTGCAATGTCAATTAGTTTTCAAAGCTGTTAAAGTTGAAATGTTCAAAACTTTCAAAGGCTATATAAAGGACACAAAAAAACTAGATAAATGTATGTAGCAACTTGCTTTGTTTTTCCATCTTTCTCTGTAGATTAGCAGGAAACATGTAAAAAAATGTTTTTACTTGGGAAGATAAGTTACCTCGTCGTACAAAGCAAGATGACTAGTTTTCTAAGTATATAAAAATCACATTGACCTTACATTTCTTTACAAATATTAATCTGATCAGGGTTGGCTACTGTCTTATTTGATACAGTTATATAGAAATAATTATTTATCAGTCTTTTTCTCAAGATATTGCAATAAATAATTGCAAGTGTCTTTAGAAAAAAACTAAATTATAAACACTGACACATTCAAACTCTAAGAATCATAACACACGTGCTGGAACAAATATTTACTTTTTACTTTTTCATACATAAGGTTTTACCTTTTTGTTATTAACTGCTAACAGAAGCCCCTGTCCTTCGAACTTTTTTCATCTCATTGTCTCATATACACATGTAGCTACTTTATATCTTTTAATCAAATGTTGTTTTTTTGTTCCCTAGGGCATTGCCTCTTTGCCTAGTTTTCTTTTCCATCTTATGAAACTTCGAATGCGGGAAATACAGATCATGAATGCAACGAAAGACAGAATCAAACCGTACATAAAACAACTTCACACAACACTCATAGACAACTATACACGAAGCATCAAGCAGCTTGAATGAACTCAAGACTCATAAAATAATTTCTCCTCCGACATTATTCTTTAGGGTTAATTGTTTTTGGTATCTTCTCTCCCATGTTTCTTGAATCTGTTAATTTATCTATAAAACAGACCATACATTAGTATTTTGAATATTTAGGCGGCTACCATATGAAGAAAGCGTGCATCGTACATGTCGTTATATTTTGTTCTAAAGCAAATACCAATAATGAATACGTTATAAGAGAGGCAAAAGAAGATACCAAAGGGACATTCAAACTCGTAAATCTAAAATAAACTGACAACGCCATGGATAAAAAAGAAAAAGACCAACAGACAAACAACAGTACAAAAAACACAGCATAGAAAACTAAAGACTGAGCAACACGAGCCCCACCAAAAACTATAAGTCTAATTCGGTAGGTCACATTCGGGGGAATTATAAATGGGTGTTAATCATCATTCTACCATCCTGGAAATTATTTTACTCTGTATTAATCTATTATTTTAAGTTTTATTTCTGTAGGTTTCATAATTCTTTTCATTTTAAGGGCTCATTAACTTTGAGGTAGAATATTTCTAAAAAATATTTTTTTATAATCGTGTGTCACCTAAAGAAGGTCGCCAATGCCGTCTTAAGGATGTTCGCTCCATTTGTTTTTGAATTTTTGTCAGATACTCGGAATCCTCTGGTTTTATCCATGTAGTGCCATTAGAAATTTTGCCCACTAACCCCTACTTTTCTTTCTATAATTTGATTACATATAGTTTAAAATGTCATCTTTAAAAATCTTATAAAATCCTTGTTATTTTTTCATCATTTTTGAAAGAAAAAAAGGGCCCATGTTAAATGTATGAAAAATCTAGAGAGAATTATTTCCCGCCAAATTTTCAATGGCTTATATCTTGAAAACAAGCAAACGGACCCTTCATTTTTTTCTGCTTTTTTAGTTTCTTTATTCATATACTATCAACTTATAATAGACTTTTAAAAAACTTGTTATTTTGAAACAGAGTAGCGAACATCCTTAAAATGATATTGCCAGAAAGTGCTTTGCCCATACTATGGATTAATTATTATTGGTGGGATATCAATTTTCGTTAATTTCATTGGTACGGGTGAACCACGAACCTAAATTACACAATTTTCTATAGGCTTATATGCAGACGTTGGCAAAACTACGAAATCAAATATCAACGTAAATGCAAGTTATCCTCAATCTATGAAAATTTGTACCCACGAAAATAAATAAAGTCACAAAAGTTTGGTATGAAAATCACCATATATCACTTAGTTTAAATATTAATGGATTAAGAAAGTGTGAAACGACCGACCACGACAAAAGACGTTGTTAAGCGATACAAAAATGCGTATATTATTGCAACAATGATGCTTATTGCTATATTTTCCTACGTCATCGTTTGAGTCTAGTAAAGTGTTTCATGAAAATAAGAACATAGATAAAGAACAGTAGTTGCACGATAATAATGTCGCAAAAAGCAACGTACATTCCATTAAAATGTGTGGACAATTGGTGAAAAGTAATAACCAGTAAGTACCAATATCGAACAGGTTGCCTTAAATAGCTGCAATAAACCGAGTCCTTGCATGAAAAATATAATAAAGCCGAAATAAGCGACGTGCATTGTATCATTGATTAATTCCCACAAAAACGAATCCACCAGGTGTCTATGCATAAGAATGAATTAGAGGTGTGAGGTTTACATTGTATGTCAATCAAACTGTAACCAAACGGTTTAATTAATTAATAT